GGAAGGGCTGAGGGGACTGAGCACAAGATGGCGGTCATCTTGTGGCTGTGGGCACTGCCATCTTGTGAGGGTGTGATGGTCAATTAGCATATTACCTCTTTATTATATAGGGCTCCCCCTGCCACCTCCCATCCCCCACCCAAATAGAATTTTTTTTCACCCTTCTCTGGCTTTGCCCCTCTGCATTTGGGATGCTTACTTCCAAGGACTATGTCTCTAATACTGTGCCATCTGGGCCCCATGCTACTGCCCTTCCATCACCCATCCCAGGCTGTCCCCATGAGGATCCCTTCCTCACCTGCTCAAGCTCTGAGATCCTGTGCTATGCTTCTGCCCTTCTTTATGGACATAGTCCTCTCTCAGCTGCTTCCATCTCTGACGTCAACTCTTGGTCATTATGCCCAGCCCCACTTAATGGCGTTTGGACTGAATTATTTGCGAAGGAGAGCCACATCATTTTTTGAGAGACAATTAAGTTTTTTTTGACATCTGTCCAAAATTAAAAGTTAGTGCTTTATAAGAAGGGAAAAGAAGTTTTGGTCAAGATGGTGGCATAAATAAATGTAGTACTCACATCTTCCCACAACCACATCAAAATTACAACTAAATTACAGAACAGTCATCACTCAGAGTACCTGAAATCTGGCTGAACAGAAATCCTATAACTGAGGATATAAAGAAGAAGGCACATTGGAACTGGTAGAAGGTGCGGAGGCATGGAACAGACTGGTCTCATACCCACATGTGGTGGTTAGAAATCAGTAAGGGTATCTTGCCTGTGGAGATCCCCCTTAAGTGGTCCCAGGCCCCTCAGTCCAGGGTTCCACTGCCAGGAGAGAAGTTTCCATAATTTCTGGCTGTAAAAATCAGCAGAGACTGTGGTTGATAGAGATGGAGGGCTCCTGGATTTCCAGGCATCCTTGAAGGGCCCACACATGGACTTACTCAGACTTGCTCAGAGCTCCAGCACTGGGGCAGCAGCTCAAAAGCCATAGGAACATATGGGGAGGAACTGAATTGTCTGGTGTTAGGACTAGGGCTAGAGAGGCAGCTTTCTCTCAGACAGAAGTGCTAGTAGAGGACATTGTTCCACAGAGCCATCAGGATGGCACCATATCTGAGTCTCCATCAACCTGGATAATAATGTTAGGCACCTGCTGACCCCCCAGCCACCTTAGTGATTCCCTCAAACTTGGGCTCACCCAAGCCATTTCCAGTGGCCTTTTTATACAAAGGGCCTTTCTTAGCTCATGCTTCATACTTTTGTAAAGTCTCTCAAACAGGTAGCATTTGGTATGCAGTACCTCTTGCTAAGTGACCCCAGACCTGGCATTAGTGGCAGCCAGCCTTGGTTAGCAGCTTGACCTCTCCCTGGGCACTTCCAAGCCCAGCACAAGTAGCAGCCACTCTGTAGCTCATGCCAGGTGGCCCCAGGCAGAGAACAGGCAGTGGCTGACCTTGCACCACCTGGGAGGTCCCAGAGCCAGTGCACGTGGTGGACAGTTTCAGAACACCCTGATTATAACCCAGCCACCTGCACCAGTGACATACTCAAGCGGCAGACTCAGCAGGCACCAAAGCCCCACTGAAGCGAGTCCTGCTTCATGAGGTCAGCCCCTGAACAGCAGCTCCTCCACTGTAGTTGCAGCAGGCCCTCACAGTGATGTGCCAACAGAAATCAAGGCTCAACTACAATAGGAAAGTGCACACAGTTCACCTGGGGTACACCTGGGGCTCCCAGCTCAGGTGACTGGGGAGGCTGTGCCACTGGGCCCTACAGGATACCTACTACATAAGGTCTCTCTACCAAGTCCAGGGAATGTAGTAGCTTTATCTAATACATAGAAACAAACATAGGAAGCAGCCAAAATGAGGTGACAAATGGGTTCTAAGTGAAAGAACAGGAAAATCTCCAGAAAATAGAACTAAATGAAATGGAGGCAAACAATTACCAGATACAGAGTTCAAAACAATGGTTATAAGGATGCTCAAGGAACTTAGTGGGAACTTCAGCAGCATAAGTAAGGACATGGAAACCATAAAAAAGAACCAGTCAGAAATGAAGATTATGTGAATTGAAATGAATAATTTACAGGGAATCAACAGTGGAGTAGATGAGGCAGAGAATCAATCAGTGATTTGGAATATAAGGAACCAGAAAACAACCAATCAGAACAGCAAAAAGAAAAAAGAATTTAAAAAATGAAGATAGTGTAAGAAGCGTCTGGGACAACTTCAAGTTTACCAACATTCTCATCACGGGGAGCCAGAAGTCAGAGAGCAAGAAATTAAAAAAATAATGATTGAAAATTTCCCTAATATGATGAAGGAAATCCTATCTAATAAAGAGGGAATATGCAAATTGACTGTCACGCCCTCACAAAGATGGCAGTGCCCATAGCCACAAGATGGCAGCGCCCAGTCCTCTCAGCCCCGCCAGAGTCCCCCAGTCCTTTCAGTCCTGCTGGGGGGTGGCAGGCACACAGTGTGGCTGGACCTGCCCTCAGCCCCCCAGCCGCCCAGGGCCTGCCCAAAACGCAGGCAAGCCTCGGATGTCAGCTGCCCAGCCACCCAGGGCCACCCGAGGCTCAGCCACCCAGCCGGGCCTGAGGCGTAGGCAAGCCTTGGGTGGTGGCTGCCTAGCCACCCAGGGCCACCCGAGGCTCAGGTAACCAGGGCCAGCCGAAGCTTATGCTGCCAGCAGTGGCAGCAGCAGAAGTGTGATGGGGGCATCGCCTGCCCCTGATCACCAGGTCGCCTCCCGCCCCTGAGGGCTCCCAGACTGAGAGAGGGGTCAGGCCGGGCTGAGGGACCCCCCCTCCAGTGCATGAATATTCATGCACCGGGCCTCTAGTAGATATATAAGCCCTGGAAGTACAGAGAGTCCCAAACAAAATTAACCCAAAGAGGCCCATATGAAGACTCATCATAAATAAAATGCCAAAGTTTAAAAACAAAGAGAGAACTTCAAAAGCATCAAGAGAAAAGCAGTCTTCTACAAGGACGTGTCCTTAAGTCTGTCAGTTGATTTCTCAACTGAAACTTTGCAGGACAGATGGGATTGGCACAAAATATTCAGTGATGAAAACTAAAGACCTACAATCAGATTACTCTAACCAGTAAAGCTATTATTTAGAATTGAAGGATAGCCTTCAATTGGCTGGTGTGGCTCATTTGCTTGAGTGTCCTCCCACGCACCTTGAGGTTGCTGTTCTATTTCCCCATCAGGGCACATGCCCAGGTTATAGGCTTGAACCCCAGTATGGGGCATGCAGGAGGCAGCTGATTGATCTTTCTCTCCCTTTCTATTTAAAGTCAATTCTATATAATAAAAAGCTAACATGCAAATCGACTGGTGAAACGACCAGTCACTATGATGTGCACTGACCACCAGGGGGCAGATGCTCAATGCAGGAGCTGCCCCCTGGTGGTCAATGTGCTCCCACAGGAGGAGTGCCGCTCAGCCAGAAGCCCTGAGTGGGGATCATGGCTGGCAAGCACAGCGGTGATGGTGGGAGCCTCTCCCGCCTCTGGGTTAGTCAGACACCCCCTGAGGGCTCCCGGACGGTGAGAGGGCACAGGACTGGCTGAGGGGGACCCCCCCCCCCAGTGCACGAAATTCATGCACTGGGCCTCTAGTAAAAACATACTTTAAAAAAAGAATTGAAGGACAGATAAAGAGCTTCCCGGACAAGAAAAAGCTAAGGGAGTTCATCACCACCAAATTAGTATTACAAGAAATGTTAAAGGTCCTTCTTTAAAAAGATAAAAAATATGAAAAATAAGATGGCAATAACTACATATCTATCAACAATTACTTTAAATGCAAATGGATTAAATGCTCCAATCAAAAGACATGCACAGTGGCAGAATGGATAACAAAACAAGACCTTTTCATATGCTGTCTACAAGAGACTCACTTCAGATCAAAAGACATATAAAGACTGAAAATAAAGATGTAGAAAAAGATATTTAATAAAAATGGAAACAAAACATAAAAGCTTGGGTAGCAATTGTTAAACCAGGCAAAATCGACTTTACATAGACAAACAAAGTCTACAACAGGAGACAAAGAAGGACCCAGCAACTCCACTTCTGGGTATTTATCCAAAGAAACCCAAAACACTAAATCAAAAGGTCATGTACATCCATATATTCATTGCAACATTATTTACAGTAGCCAAGATATGGAAGCAACCTAAGTTTCCATCGGCAGATGAATGGATAAAGTAGTGGTGCATATATTCAATGGAATATGACTCAGCCATAAAAAAGAATGAAATCTTAGCATCTGCAGCAACATGGTTGGACCTAGTGGGTGTTGTGCTCAGTGAAATAAGTCAGAGAAAGACAAATGCCAGATTATTTCACTTACATGTGGAATCTAAACAAACAAGCAGAACAGAAATTGTAATAACTATGTATGGTGTCGTATGGGTACTAGATTTATCTGGGTTATCATTTCGTAAGTTATATAAATGCCTAATCCTGGGGTTGTACACGTGAAACTAATATAATATTCTATGCCAATGTATTTAAAAATAAATTTAAAAATATAGGAAGAGTAAAAACCTCAAATAGCTTGAAAATTATACTTTTCAGGCAATTGTTGTTATAGTTTTGAAAGGATTTTTTTGACTAATGTTTAAGATTTAGCATAAGCCCTGGCCAGGTTGGTTGAGCATCGTCCCATGCGTCAAAAGGTTCCCATGCATCAAAAGGTTGCCGGTTCAAATCCCAGTTAGGGTGCGTGTGGGAGGCAACCGATCAGTGTTTCTCTCTCACATCCGATGTCTCTGTCTCTCTTATCTGTTTCCCTTCCTCCCCCTTCACCCCCTCCCTCTCACTCTAAAATCAGTAAAAACATTTTAGAAAAAAAGTGCTATTTGATTTATAATTAGTTGAATCTCAGTGTAGATTGGTTAATGAGTGGTTCCTGACTGAGGAAATAAAACAAATTATAATTTACATCCACAAAATAATATTCATTTTTCTTCTAGCTCTTCCACCAAAGCCACCTAAGCCAATGACTTCAGCTGTTACAAATGGAATGAAGGACAATTCTGTTTCTCTTCAGGATGCAGAATGGTACTGGGGGGATATTTCAAGGTAACTAGAATGCAGCTATTATTGAATGTATTTTTTTAAAAATCACTTTTTAGAATTAGTAGTTAAAATACTTTAATGTCCCATTAATTGTCATTTAAAGATGACCATTTAAGAGATTGTGTGGTAACATTTCAAAAGTTTCTAAATGCTTTTCTTCCCACACACACACACACACAAAATGACAAGAAAATCTTTAAATTATGGGTGTGATTTTACTTTTAATACTATATTGGGGATGTATTTCTGAATAAGCAATACATACTCTTAAGATAGTCACATATATCTTAGGGTGAAAGATACTTATAGGTACTTAATTTTCCTTACCTTTTGTCTCTAAGGCAGTAGTAGTACCACAATCTTTACATGTGCAAGAATCAATTGGGTGGGGCTTAGGAATCTGCATTTAACAACCTCCCCAAGTGATTTTGGTCCACTCCACACACCTCATTTTGGGAAACAGGACTCTTGGACAGATTTCTCTTTGAGTAAAATGTGGTTTTGGAAATATTTGAATCTAGAGAAGGAATATATATATATATACACACACACACACACACACACTACATATATATATGTATGTATATATATATTTAAAATTTGAATATTATATTTCTTTGTTTTTAAAAAACACTACACATTTCAGCCAACTCAGGTTTCAGGTTGATACTATATTCCTCAATATGATTGTCTCCCTCTTTCTTTTGTCTCTTCTCTCCCATTACCAAAATGGCACTCATTCCTTCTTTTCCTTACCCTTTAACCATCTTTAAATGTACAATTCAGTGGTATAAAGTACATTTACATTGTTGTTCAACTTTCACTACCATCCATCTCTGGAACTATTTCATCTTCCCAAAGTGAAATTCTATACCCATTCATAATACACTAACTCCCCTTTCCTCCTATTTTCCCCAGCCCCTCCCTGGCAATCACCATCCTACTTTCGGTTTCTATGAATTTGACTACTCTAGATATCTCATATAAGTGGAACTATACAATATTTATGCCTCCAAAGTTCATCCATGTCATAGCATGTGTCAGATTTTACTTCCTTTTTAAAGCTGAACAATATTTCACTTAATATATATCTACTTATTTATCTGGACATTTGGCTTTGATGAACATTTGGATTGTTTCCAGCTTTTGGCTAGTGAGTAATGTTGCTATAAACATTGTGTGTAAATGTTTAAGTCCATGCTTTCATTTGTTTTGGGTATATACCCAGAAGTGGAATTTTTAGGTTATATGGTAATTCTATGTTTATTTTTTTGAGGAAGACAATATATATTTATATTAAAATTATCAGAAAAAATTTATTTTAGCATTATACAATAAAAGGATCTATTATATTTAAATATCATTTAAATTTATATTTTAAGACCCTGTGGTTCTATAATTCAAGGGTCTTTTATACCCTGCCATTTCCTTTGAGTGTTCCAGTACTGTTCCTTAAAGTCCCAAACCAGCTCCGAAGAGAAATTTATCAGTATACGTTCATATTGGAGGATATTATATTGAAAAATTGTGAATTTTGTGAATTTCTTCCCCTCTGATCAGACAGCTGCCAGTGTTGCTTAAATATAACCTTCTTTCTAAACAGCTGCTGGTTTTTCCTGAAACTCTGCAAGTTCAGAGCTGCCTAAGGAACCCTTAAAGGCTTAATGGAAACACTATCTCTTATAGATAGTTGAAATCTGGAAAAGTTTAAGAAGTAAATAGCCCTTCCTTAAATTGCATAACACCGAAAATCAAAACAGAATGAACATACCTAGAGGGAGGAACTAAATGACCTCTGACGGCCCTATGATTCTATAACTATACCACTTCCCAACTAGCCTTAGTAATAATATATGAAGAGCACAAATGACACTTGTGTTTTTTTCATTTTTACTATAATTCTTCAGGGAGGAGGTAAATGACAAATTACGGGACATGCCAGATGGTACCTTCTTGGTCAGAGATGCCTCAACAAAAATGCAGGGAGATTATACTTTGACTTTGCGGTGAGTATTTTTCAGCATTTTCATTAGCATTATTTATTTCTGGTATACAAAGATTTCTGTATTTTGTTTAAATCTTTATATATACATTTTTCATATTTTAATTTAATATAGATACATAATTTTTGTTTGGCTAACTATCCTTTTTTATACATTAAACATTTAAATGTTTTATAAAAATGACAGTATTTATTTTTTGGTAGCAATAAAGTGAAAAAGCTTTAATGTAAGGAAATAAGATGTATACTGTTGACCTTATGAGTGTAGAAGAAGTGACGTGCACAGCTTAAGGTTGTTCATGATATGTTGGGAATCCACCCCTCTAATAACCCTATTATTTTCCTTAATGTAGACTTCAGCGTTAAAACTCAACCTTATTTAGGATGATGATGATATGTAGAAGATAAAGCAATTCTCAGTCTGTATCATGCCATCCACGTGGGCATATTAGAATCTCATAAGTGGTGGTTGTATCCCTTTTATATTTACAAAAGTGGGACATATATTTTTTAAAAATTAGGAAAACTGCTTTAGATATTCCCACATTTAATTTTAACCATTAAAATCGCCTAATTACAATAAAGTCTTATGATTTTTAAAAAAATAAAGTGACTATATAAAGAAAAGAATAATAACAATAGCAACAATAACAACTTTCTTGGAGTCACTATATTAGTTTCTGGTAATGACATTGAAAGAAATTAATGCCATAGGACTTCAGTTGTGCTGAGGAATAATCAGTGTTCTCTGTTGATTCAACACAATTTTTTCTCATTCTAGTCAGGCTTCTGTCTTATCACTCTACAGCAGTGGTTCTCAACCTTCCTAATGCCACGACCCTTTAGTACAGTTCCTCATGTTGTGGTGACCCCCAACCATAAAATTATTTTCGTTGCTACTTCATAACTGTAACTTTGCTACAATTATGAATTGTAATGTAAATATCTGATATGCAGGATGTTACAAATTGAACATAATTAAAGCATAGTGATTAATCACAAAAACAATATGTAATTATATATGTGTTTTCTGATGGTCGTAGGTGACCCCTGTGAAAGGGTCATTTGATCCCCAAAGGGGTCGCGACCCACAGGTTGAGAACCGCTGCTCTACAGGGACTGCTAAACCAGTGGCCACTTCTCTTTCTTACTTTGCCTGACCTCTTAGCAGCATTAGTCATAGACACTTCTTCCTAGAAACAGTTTATTATCTTGGCTGTTGTGATATCACATTCTTCTGATTTTCTTCCTAATTCTAGGCCACTCCTTTGCTCAATATCGAGATGTTAAGTGTTTCTGGGTTCAGACTTGGGCCTTCTCTTCTCTGTATTCATTTTCCCACAGTGAAGCTTGTCCTGTCCCTTGGCTTTAATATACAGATATGCAGTGAGATTCATAAACCTTATCTCCAGCTCTGACCTTCAGAACTCCAGATGCATATATCCAGTTGCCTGCTTGCTTTTGCCGCTAGATAACTAGGGGAGATACTAATTTTAACATGGTCAGTGCAGAATTTTTATTTCAATCCCAACTCCCCTACCCAAACTGTTTCTCTTCAAGTCTTCACTCTTTTTAAGCAATAGAACCACCATCTCTACAGTTACTCAAGCCACAAGTCTTTCCTCCTCTCTTTCTCTCACTCTCATATCCAAGTCATCATTAAGTAAATCCTGCCAACTCTACCTTCAAATCTATATTAGTAATTTCTTCACATTTCTCTCCTATCTAAATCTAAGCCACCATCATCTTGCTTGATCTTTTGCAGTCACCTCCTGACAGGCCTCCCAGCATCTTAAAATTTCTAACCTTCCCCATCCCTGTTGACTCATTTTCCGCACAGCAGCCAGAATGATCATTTACAATATTCTTCAAGACAGTTGTTTGTAGGCATGTCTTTTCCCTCTCCTTTCATTGTCTTTAATCCATTCCAGTCAGGCTTCCATCCTTACCATTCAACTGAAACAATTTTATCAAGATCACTTAGCGATCTCTACTTTGTCAAGCCTCAGTTGATTATTTCCTCTTTGTTGAAATGCTTTTTAAAACATTGTTTTTTAGAAAAAAATAAAAAATTAGATAGTTTTTAAGATAAACACTTAGTTCTCCATTCACTTTATTAACTGCTTTCTCTTGGTTTCCTTTGCTGGTTCTTCCTCATACCCTGACCACTAAACATTGGTGTACCCTTGGGCCCAACCTTGAACCTCTTTTGTTGTTGAGCTGTGCTTATCTACAGTTCAGGAGAAGGTCTGGGCTAGAAGTGTAATTCATTCAGGAAAAAAAAAGATACATAGATTATTTCTCTTAAGTGATTATTTTTGCCAAATTTATTGATACTGACTGCTGTTTAGGTATATTAACCTTTAATAAGCAAGATATTTATAGATAAAAGAAATAGTTGTAAAAATAATATGATATTACATATATTTTTGCACACATACTTATATATGCCTTTTTACCTATTCTAGCCTCAGCATAATAAAACTTGTTTATTATGTGACATCAAGCTTTCATATCTTCATATGAAAGTAGTAGTACTTCAGTAGAATTTTTTTGGCAAAATCTACAGTTGTTATCTTGTTGTTTACAGGAAAGGAGGCAATAATAAGTTAATAAAAATCTACCACCGAGATGGGAAATACGGCTTTTCTGATCCTCTGACATTTAATTCTGTGGTGGAGCTCATTCACCACTATCATCATGAATCTCTTGCTCAGTACAATCCCAAACTTGATGTGAAGCTGATGTACCCAGTGTCCAAATACCAGCAGGTATGATTACACAAGTTCTTGATAGCTATTCCTCAAGTAATTACTTAACAGGATTATTTGATTCTGACTTACCAGTTAAAAAAAGAAATCTAGTCATTTAAAATTTTCTACTGAAGATTTAAGAATTTTAGAACTTACGCCGAAACCGGTTTGGCTCAGTGGATAGAGCGTCGGCCTACGGACTGAAGGGTCCCAGGTTCGATTCCGGTCAAGGGCATGTACCTGAGTTGCGGGCACATCCCCAGTGGGAGATGTGCAGGAGGCAGCTGATCAATGTTTCTCTCTCATCAATGTTTCTAACTCTCTATCTCTCTCCCTTCCTCTCTGTAAAAAATCAATAAAATATATTAAAAAAAAAAAAAAGAATTTTAGAACTTACTTTGTTGCAACTATGAATAGCTTGTTGCAATACTTTTGTTGCCTGGCTGGTGTGCTCAGATGGTTGAGCATCAACCTATTAATCAGGAGGTCACGGTTCAATTTCAGTTAGGGCATCTGCCCAGGTTGCAGGCTTGATCCCCAGTAGGGGGCATGCAGGAAGCAGCTGATCAATGATACTCTCTTATCATTGATGTTTATATTTCTCCCTCTTCCTTCCTCTCTGAAATAAATAAAAATATAGTAAAAAAATACTTTTGTTTATGTTTTCTATTTGTACTTTTTTTCTTAATTTTGAAAGTATTAACTATTTTGTTGTGATATAAGACCGATCTTCGTGTTAACAAAAGGATTTAGTGCTTTTATATGCTTGATATTAATCCAGTGGTTTAAACTTACAGTAGAAATGCAATTTAAAAATAAATAGATGTAGAAATTAATGTAGAATTGTTGACATTCTTTACTTCTTTTGTTTACCTGCACAGGATCAGTTGGTAAAAGAAGATAACATTGATGCAGTAGGTAAAAAACTGCAGGAGTATCACTCTCAGTATCAGGAAAAGAGTAAAGAGTATGACAGGCTATATGAAGAATATACCAGAACATCCCAGGTTAGTATGTTTTTGTTATTTAGGCCAGTAAGTATGCAACACCATAGTTACATCAAATTTTCTTTAATTCACCTGACAATCTTTAGAGGTCTTAATATCTTAAATAGCCTTTTGGGGACTTTGATGATTTAAATTCCTTTCCTATTCATAAATCACTTTTTTATTGGTTAAGGATATATTTTATGTCAGTTAGTGTAAACTAGAATAAGGTTTGACTGCTAGTGACAAAAAATAAAATAACAAAGGCTTCAGATAGAAATTTAGTGTTCTTTTATGTCTAGGCACTCCAGGGGTTTTATGGCAACTCCACAGGAATTGGGGCCTCGGTTTCTTCTGTCTTGATGCCTTGCTATCGGTGGAAGTTGGCTTATTCCAATATCAACCATAACAACCATATTCTAGCAATCAGGAAGGAAAAATAGGAACGAGAATAAAAGGAATGTTTCCTGTTTTTAAAACTACTTGCTAGAAACACACACTGCTTCCACACTCTGCCCACTGGTTAGATGTAGCTGCAGATCACAACTAGCTGCAGGGGAGGTCTTATATAACCGTTAGAAAGAATGCGGGAGGTTTGTATTGGTTTGGAGTGATTTCTAAGATATACTAAGTAAAAAATGAAAGCTATAGAAAAATATATGTGGTATACTGTCACTTATGGTTAAAAATTGTGTAGAGGGTGCTATATGTGTACATGTTAATATGTATTCTGATCAGAAACTGATACTGTATATCCCCTGGGTAAGATAATTAAGACAGTGAGAGTCCTAAAGTAGAAAACTTACTCTTTACTATATATACTTTTATATTGTTTGATATATTTTTTTCTGTTTGCATGTATTACCTTCTTAAAATATATAAAATGAAGTGAATTAGAATTCAGGAGATTTATTTTCTAATCCTGGTTATGCTAAAAATTGCTTGTGTCCCTTGAGAGATTATGTGTTTCAGATCCCATCTGTAAGATGGAGATAATGGCAACCCCAACTATATTTGAGTGTGTGTGTGGGGGAGGGGAGAGAGAGATAGGTAATCTGGTTACAAAGGTCAGTATAACCATCCAAAAAACACTTATTGAACACCTTGTCTAGGCATGATACTATGCTTGACTCCAGAAACACAGAGGGAGAGAGATGAGGCCCTATTCTTCAAAAGTTTGAAGTACTCTGACAATATTTGTTAAACACAATCTGCATTAGTCCAAATGTCAAATTTTAATTCCTTTCCTCTGATTAAACAAAGCAGTGATGGATTTTACTATATTTGTGTGTGTATACAAGTATACACACAACACACACTATGTTTAATCTCAAAGAATATTGAGTAAAAGATGCAAAAGAATACATATAATACACATCTGTTCATATAATGGACAAAACCAGACAGATGTTAACTTTTTTATTTTGGATGGGAACATAAAGTGATAAAATCATGAAGAATCACAAAGAATCATCATAAAGGATAGTATTATCACCAAGGCAGGGGAGATGGACTGGGAAGAAGAGAGTTGTGATTGGAAAGGATGCACGGAATTTTTGGGGGTGCTGGTAGTGGATGTTTATCCTTTATAATAAAAGCCTAGGTGGCGTATATGTGACGTCATCACTAGATGGCCAACATAACATGGCCACGACAAGATGGCTGGCAGGGGAGGGCAGTTGTGGGCGATCAGGCCATCAGGGGAGGGCAGTTGGAGGCGACCAGGCTGGCAGGTGGCAGGGGATGGCAGTTGGGGACGACCAGGCTGGCAGTGGGGAGGGCAGTTAGGCATCAATCAGGCCAGCATGGAGTGGTTAGGGGGCGATCAGGCTGGCAGGCAGAAGCGGTTAGGGGCAATCAGGCAGGAAGGCAGGCGAGTGGTTAGGAGCCAGCAGGCCCAGATTGTGAGAGGGATGTTCGACTGCCAGTTTAGGCCAGATCCCACAAGGATCGGGCTTAAATCGGCAGTTGGACATCCTCCAAGGGGCCCCAGATTGGAGAGGGTGCAGGCTAGGCTGAGGGACACACCCCATGCACGAATTTTGTGCACCAGGCCTCTAGTTTTATAATAATTTGTTAAGCTGTGCATTTGTTTTATGCACTTATGTTATACCTCCCACTAAAAATGATAAACATTAAAAACAAATGGCTGGCCTGACTGGTATTGCTCAGTGGTTGAGCATTGTCCTATGAACCAGAAGGTCACAGTTCGATTCCCAGTCAGGGCACATACCCAAATTTCAGGCTCCATCCCAGTGCGGACGTGCAGGAGGCAGCTGATCCATGATTCTCTCTCATCATTGATGTTTCTATCTCTCTTCCTCTCTTTTCCTCTATGAAATCAATAAAACAAAAATATTTTAAAAGGCACATGGCTGCCCTAGTCAGTTTGGGTAGAGCATCGGCCTGTGAACCAAAGGGTCCTGGGTTCGACTCCGGTCAAGGGCACGTACCTTGGTTGCAGGCTCCTCTCTGGCCTGGGCCCTGGTTGGGGCACATGCAATCGATGTGTTTCTCTCACATCAATGTTTCTCTCTGTCTTTCCCTCTCTCTTCCACTCTCCCTAAAAATCAATGAAAAAATATCTTCAGGTGAGGATTAACAAAATAATAATAATAAAAAATAAAAAGGCACATAGCTGTATACAAAACCAATATGAATATTTTTATAGATCAGAGGTGGAACAGGCATCCATAATAATAACCATAAATGGAACTTCCAGATTTGGAAATAAGTAGAGGTCACTGAGATTTGGACCTCCCTGGTTTTTTCCTTCTCAGTCTTTGCTGATTTCTCCTCTTTGATCTTGGTCGTCTGCTCTCGCTGGCTTGGGCGCTCACTCGCTCTCTCGCTCACTCGCTCTCTCTCTCACTCGCTCTCCCTCTCACTCTCTCGCTCTCTCCCCCCACCTCTCCAGATTTATTCCAACTTTTTTTTTTTTTGAGAGAGAGAAAGAGAGAGAGAGAGAGAGAGAGAGAGAGAGAGAGAGAGAGAGACATTGATTTGTTGTTCCATTTATTTATGCATTCATTGGTTGTTTCTTGTATGTGCCCTGATCTGGGATCGAACCTGCAACCTTGGCTTGTCGAGACAGTTCTCTAACCAACTGAGCTACCGGGCCAGGTCGTCTTCTCTTTTCTAGGTACTTATTTACTCTCTGGTAATTTCAGACCATCTCATGGTTTTACATACCATTATATGCTAGTAACTCCCAAACATCTTTCCAACCTTCCTTTTCCACTCTGCTTTTCTTTTTTCCATAATGCTTCTTACCTTCTAACATACTATGTACTTTACTTACTCACCGTATCTGTTATTTATTGTCTGTATAATCCCCTAAGCTATACGTTCCAGGAAAGCAGAAATCTTTAAGCTTGTTCACTTACGTATCCCAAACACTTCTAAATTCTCTTAGCTCTAGACTCATTCATCCAGCTGCTTAATGAACAGCTTCACTTGGATGTGTAGTAGATATCTCAGATTTGACATGTCCAAAATTGAACCCTGATATTTCACCTCAATACTGTTCTACCCTTTGCCTTTCCCATTTCAGTTGAGAGCAATCATGTCCTCAAGATCTTTCAGGCCAAGATCCTTGAAGTCATTCTAGTAGACTCTTTCTATTATACCTTGTATCCAGTCGATCAGGAATTCCTGTTGACTTTACCTTTAGAGTATACCCAGAATTCAACCCCTTCTCACCACATTCATTGCTAATACCTTGATCTAAGCCACTATCATTTCTTGCTTTGATTTAGCACAGAAACCTCCTTTCCTTTCCTTATCCATGTTCCCCTTCCCCTAATCAATTCTCGACATAGCAGCTAGGTGATACTTGTAAAATGTAGGTAAGATCACAGCACTCCTTTGTTTAAGACCCAGCTCTGGTTCCACATTTAACACAGACTGAAAGCCAGAGTTGTTTTTGTAATGGCCATTATGATCTGTGCCCCTTTTCCTCCTGGACCTCATTTCTTAAACTCTCTTCGCTGTGCCCCAGCCACACTAGCCTCCTTGCTGTTCCTTGAACATACTAGACCTGCTTCCCACCTTTGTGTTTTGCACTGGCTATTTCCTTGCCTGAAACACATCCTCTGGCCTCAGGTAGTCACCTGGCTAACCCCCTCACCTCTTTCAAGTCTTTGCTCAAATGTTGTTATCAAATAAGGCCTACCTGACAACTTTATTTAAAATTGCAACTCTCCAACCTTCCTTTTCCACTCTGCTTTTCTTTTTTCCATAATGCTTCTTACCTTCTAACAAACTATGTACTTTACTTAACCTTACCATATCTGTTATTTATTGTCTGTATAATCCCCTACACTATAAATTCCAGGAAAGCAGAAATCTTTAAGCTTGTTCACTTATGTATCCCAAACACTTCAAATAATGCCTGGCATATAGTTATTGTTTTATTTGTTGAATGAGTCTATGCAAGATGATGAACCCAGAGCCTCCACATTTGGTCAGGGCATGGAGTCAGACTAATGGTGTGAAGCGGAGTCTAGTGGAGGGCTAAGCCCCCTGTGAATAGAAGCTAGAAAAAATGGCCACTGTTGCATGTGGCTTTGGCTTGTATAGAGCTGCACTTCTCCTTTCTTTTCTTCTTTTAAAAAATACAGTTTTATTGATTTCAGAGAGAGGAAGGGAGAGGGAGAGAGAGATAGAAGCATCCATGATGAGAGAGAATCATGGATCGGCTGCCCGTTGCACCTCTCCTTTCTGACATGGCTGGAGAAAGCTCCACATGCTGTGAACATGCTTTGTAATAGTGGGGATTTCACAGCATATTATGAGTTCGAAGCAACTGATATGAGACCAGGTTCTGAACTTGGAATCCCTGGTTGGAGAGCTGGATTTGGGGGGCAGATGGAGGCAACCAAATGCCACTAGTAGGTCGAAACTAGAAGAGGGCTAAATTTCTGTATGTGAGAATTCAGAGCAGGACTTGAGATGGGGCTGATCACAGAAAGCTTATGGAGCTTAAAGCCTTGGGAGGTGAGTGAAGAGAGCGAGGATCCAGTAATTAGTGGTACAGGAGATGGGCTGGGACAATAAGTGTTAAACAGAGATTAAATAATTGACCTCCTCTGTTTATAAGTGTTGTAGTGTTCATAAGTATTGTAGAACTCCTTGTGTTGTGTCTTTATAAGTTTTATAAACTTCCTCTATATTTCTGTGAAATCTTAGATAAAATCTAGATTGCTGTGATATAAGTGAATTCTTCCCAGAGAATGGGAAAGGGATGGTGTTGGTTGGCACAGGGTGAGAATTGACTACAGGTGAGGCTATTTAACATCTGGATTACATATAATTAGGAGGAAAAGTGATTGGACTTAGTGATAGATTGGGATAAGGACAGGAATTTGGCCATGAGATCATTGGTGACCTTAGAAGAGCAGTCTCTGTGGAATGGTGAGTACAGAGCCAAAATAGAGTGAGTTGGAGTATGAATCAGAGATGAAGAAAGAGAGACAGCCATATACACAACTCTTTCAAGAAGTTTAACTGTGACTGGGTGAGGATTTAGGTTAGGGATTTTATTTTTCCAGAGTGGTGTCACTAGAACTTGTTTGTATGTTGATGAGAAGGAACCATTAGATGGGGAGAGTTAATGATGTAAGAGGGGCTGGCTGATGTAATGGATGGAAGGAAGTACCTGAGAACGGAAGAGAAGGTGAGCCCCAGAGCACAGGTAGAAAAGGGAGGAGGAAGAAGGAAGGGGTGTAGATCCAGGTAGGTTTATAGTTTGGGTAGTAGATATAGTGACATTGTTTACAGGGGAGCTGCTGCTTGGACAGTGATGTCAAATAATTTCCCATTTGCTGCCCTATTTACCAACACATATACCAGTGTTAGTAAAGTCTATATTATTGGTGTTTTCTTTGAAGATACAGGGCCAGAGCTTTGTAAGTATTTTCTAACTTTGCAAGGGTGCCAGTACCCTTTACTATAATTTCAGAGTGCAGAATTTGTAGCTAAATATTTAGATGTGGGCATTCAATAAGTTTGCAGTACTATTTGAGATATGTATAATATTACCTCACTTATATGGGACATCATAAAGGTTTGAGCTTCCCTCATCAACCTTTGTTCCAACCCTACTGAGCAGTTGCTTATCCCTGAACATCTCCTAATATTTCATGTACATGCCATGCCAAATGTGTGCGATGCTGCATTTCCCCCCACCCCAGTTCTTTAAGAACTAGCTCAAATGCTGTCTTCTTCATGAAGCCTCTGTAAAGCAATAAGTAACTGATTTATCCCACTTGATTTCCCTACCATGACATGAAACAGAACCTATTAGAGTTCAGAAATCTATTTCACCTGTGTAGTTCAAATCCTGAAAGGTAGGCTCCATGTTTTATGAATCTCTTTATCACCAGATGGTACTTCCTGTATAGTGGATTTTCAATAATCATTTGTTGAAATTAACCAATGCTGGATAGTTGAGGAATTATCTTGTAAGCACCAAACCTTTAAAAATTATAAACATTCAGGATAGTAATCTTTCTAGACCTTTATACATATTTCTTGACTTTCTAAAGTAAATAGAATAAAGTCTAATCCTCTTTGAAGGTTTTAGGGGAATCATGAGTCAGATGCTAAAGTCTACAAATACCCTCAGACTTCTTACCCTAGTGCTGAATGGGCTTTTGTTTTATGGAGTTTTCATTTTACATCTTAGTCTGCATCTGATTTTTGCAGCTATTCTCCCCTTTTTCATTTTCTGCTTTAATCAGATGAATTTACTGATGATTCTGTTTTGAAAACTACATGCTTTAGAAACTAAAGCAAGAATAAATAGACTCTGGCCCTAGCTGGTTAGGCTCAGTGGATAGAGCATCGGCCTGCCGACTGAAGGGTCCTGGGTTCGATTCCGGTCAAGGGCACATTCCCAGGGTTGAGGGCTCGATCCCCAGGAGGAGGTGTGCAGGAACTAGCCAATCAATGATCCTCTCTCATCGTTGATGTTTCTATCTCTCTTTCCCTCTTCCTTCCTTTCTGAAATCAATAAAATATATATATATATATGTATATATATATATATATTTTTAAAAATAGACTCTGTAGGGCTCTTCTGGGGATAAGTCTTTGCATGTTGTTGCATGGACTCCTCTGCTCTATCCATTCACCCCTTTAGCACCTTTTGGGGGTCAGCACTACAATAGGTGCAAAGGCAGGTCTTTATTTATCCTTGTCTTCAATGTGTCAAGGGGTTGATCCCTCTTAGCAACTTAGGTCTTTCTGTGGTTCTCAGCTATACTTTTTCTTTTTTCTAGGGTTTGAATGATTCATTTTGCATATAAATAATAAGGGTAAGAGTTAAATAAAGGGTCTTATTTTAGCCAGGCGATTTTCAACTGTTGTCCCACAAGAATTTTTAAAACATGCAATACCTGACTATTTCGTCAGGGGCACTGACCTCTTTTCCCTTAGTTTGTCAAATAAAAAAATGACACTAGCCAACATAACAATAGCTGTTGGATGTGACTGAATCAAAATTATACCTGTTTTTTGGTCAGATTGGCAAAGAATATATTTTTTGGTGTGCTGCAGAATTTTAGTAATCAGTGTATGTGTGCCATGAGATGAAAAACGTAGAAAATTTCTGGTTTAGCTTTCTGAATTCAGTCTTACATGGAACTGTAAAAAAGTTCCAAAAAAATAAAGATAATAAAGTATATAGCTTTTCTTTTTTTCTCCTATAGGAAATACAGATGAAGCGGACGGCAATTGAAGCTTTTAATGAAACAATTAAAATTTTTGAAGAGCAGTGTCACACACAAGAACAGTATCGCAAAGAATATATTGAGCGATTTCGCAGAGAGGGGAATGAAAAGGAAATTGAACGGTAACTCTACCTAATTACCTCCAAGTACATCAGTGAGACAAGATGTCTTCTTCCCCAATAATCTCTGTTGTGTTTGCTTTTACTCCTCAAACTTCACAGTCCTTTCATATGGAAGTACTTGCTGTTCCCACCAGTGATACCAAACTGAACCTCCTCTCTTCTGCATTCTTTCTCCTCCTCCTAAATATTAGCTCTTGCTCACCCTGTAGAACTCAGCTTAGACATGATTTTTTCTAGAAAATTTTCTCTGATTCCCTAGACTAGTTTGGGGTCTTTTTGTCCCTATACCTATAGTATCTGCTCCCGACCCCTACTGTAACATTTACTGAATGTCCCACTTATGAAACTGCAAGCTTGTTGAAAGTAGGGATGTTGGCTTATTTTCCTGATAGTTACAGCACCTGTTATGGTGCGGAGAGTACATAGTGGTACTCACTGAATATTTGTTGAACTGAAAATCAATAGCAGCAGTCTGAGAATAAATTGGAGGCGGAACAAGACCGAGGGCAGTTTGAGCAGCTGACTGACTGTTGCAAGTGGCTGTAGTCTTATATCATCAGGTTAAAAGATGGTGAGGGCCTGAACCAGAGCAATGGCAGGAAAGGAGGTGGAGTTAATGGACATGGTGAGGACTTGAGGCCTGACCAGGAATGATAGGTGTGGGATAAGTCAAAGTTTACTCCTACTGACTAAGGGATGGTGTTATCCACAAAATACAGACAGCCCTCGGTTACATCGGACTCGACGTACATCGTTTTGTGGTTACGTTGCCATCTACCATTTACTTATAAAAAAAATGTTCTGTCATGTCGACATATGTACATATGTGCTTTATGGTTTTTATTATTTATTTACTACAAGTAAAGGTCAGGAATTGTTATCTTTCTTTTAAATTTTTTTTTACTGTTTCACTTCATTACTGCTGTGTATGTGCTCCATGCAAGTGACGTAGGTGCTTACGTAGGTGGGTTCCGACTTACGGCAAAAATCGCATTACGTCGCGCCGTAGGAACGGATCTCCGATGTAACCCGAGGACCTACTGTAGAGAGTCTGAGGAGAGTGTGGGGTTAGAACCAATGAGTTTGAGGTTCCTTTGAGAACCCAATGGAGTTGTCTGAAAGGCTGTTGGATTTGGAACTCAGGGTACAGGAAGGATTTGGGAGGCATAAGTGTGTAGGTGATGGTAGATGGTAAGAATGAGATTACACAGGGAGAATGAGCAGTATGAGAACTATTGGATCTGGCAACCAAAGGATATTGTAAGCTTTTATCAAAGCAAATTTAGTGGAATATTGGAAGGCTGAGCCAGAAAACAGTGGGTTGAGGAGTGAAGAAGTGGATAATAAATAAAAATGAATCCTATTCATTGAGTACCGCTATATACTCTCCGCACCGTAACAGGTGCTGTAACAATCAGAAAAATAAGCCAAGAAAAAAGCAAAATTATTTCTCATGTCCAAAGTGTTAGTGAACTTATTTGTGCAAAAGAATAGGGCTGAGTGGTGTGAGGCAGTATAGCCTAATGTTAAAACATGGGCTTGGATTCTGTGTTGAATATTTACTAGCTATGTGATTTTGGGTGAGTTACTTAATTCTTAGGGCCTGTTTCCTCCTCCATAAACTGTGGATAATATCTTGTTGAAATGCCATGAGAATTAAGTCACACACACACGCACACACACACACACACACATTCATTAATGATGCAGAAAGGCATGTCTGTGTGTGTGAGTGTATCTTGGCATTTGCAGTCAATAGCAATTATTAATAATGAAGAACTAGAAAAGATTTTTTAGTTCAGTGTAATGGGAGGTAAAGTAACATGATGACATTTTAATAGTAATATAAAACCACATATTGAATGATGAGTAGTGTGGACAATTGTGCCTTAAAAGGAGGATTCAGAGCACAACAAAACTTTGTGTGCTGGAAAAGATTATAGCCACCACCTACTGAGTATTTACCAAGATGTGCTAGGCATTGTTAAGTCCTTTTACATGTATTATCACATTTAATTTACACAGTAACCCAATGAAGTAGGTACTATTTAAGTACCCATTTTAAACAGAAGAGGAAATAAAGGCTCAGAGAATTTAAATAACTTGCCCATAGCCACACAGTAAGTGATAGGCCAGAGACTCATACTTAGGCAGGCTGATTGCAAAGTCATTGCTCTTAACTGCTATTTTGTGTTATCTCATTATGTCATCCATATTGCTTTTCTGGTATTTGTTCAATCATGGCTCAATCCAAAGCCCAAACAAGGGCTTTCATACTCTGTCTTTTGTTGATTTTTTTATTTTTATTTTTAGAGAGAAGGAGGGAAAGGGAGAGAGAGAGATAGAAACATTGATGAGAGAGAACATCGATTGATTGGCTGCCTCCTGCAAGCCCCTCACTGTGGCTGGAGCCCACAACCCAGGCATGTGCCCTGACTGGGAATCGAACTGGCAACTTCTTGGTACATGGGTCTACGTTCAGTTACTGAGCCACACAGACTGGGCCATACTCTGTCTTTTGGTTCCATTTTTCTTTGTGTTGGCTTCATCCTCAGGCAGTCTTTCCCTATGAGAGTGCAGTATAGCAGCTGGGAGTCCCTAGAATCAAATACATACTCATAATTTAGCAATCCAGGTGGAAAGAAAATCTCTATTTACAAGAGTAGCAAAGTCCTGGAATTGACTCTCATTGAGTCAGTTTGGGTATCACTCCTATTCCCGAGCCAGTCACTGGCCGGAGGGTGTGGATAAGACGGAATGGAATACTTTTATTGGTCATGCTGGGTTGTGTGGATGTTCACCCATGAATCTAAGATGAGGGCAAGGAACCCATACTACAGGGACCATCAAGGTGCTATTACTAGAAGAGTGGGAATGCATATGGTCCAGGAAAAAACAGCAGATGTTGACTACACTTAAGATATTAGGCTCTGCTCCCACTATAGAATGCTTCTGCTTGATTCCTATTTTAGCCTTAATATGTCAAATACTTTCACAGAATTATGATGAATTATGACAAATTGAAATCCCGTCTGGGTGAGATTCATGATAGCAAAATGCGTCTAGAACAAGATTTGAAGAAACAAGCTTTGGACAACCGGGAAATAGATAAAAAAATGAACAGTATCAAACCTGACTTGATCCAACTGCGCAAGATCCGAGATCAACACCTTGTGTGAGTAGTGTGGGAGGGGTGGAGGGCAGAGGGTACCTCGAGCACCAGATTTCTGCTGGCACTAGAAACGTTAGCTTTAGAAGAACAGATTTGTAATTAAGAAATGGCCAGTAAGAATGTAGGAAAGTATTCCTATTAGTAGTAGGGTTGCCAGAGTTGACCTGCAGTCAATGTGTGGGAGCAATATAGGACTCCAATCTGTACAGATGCCTTGGAAGTCTCAGAGGGTGGCTGTGGCATGAGCAAAGTGATGTAGCTTAAAAAGTACAGAGTAATGTTTGCCTAAAACACAAAAACCAGAATCTTTGGTTACATATTAGAACCACAGAAATGGAAATTGCCCTTCATGGGCACAGGCAAGGACACTAGTAGTGCGGGCCAGTAGATAAGTATACAGAACAATCTATTGAAGAGTTTTTATATCTAAGAAATGAAATTCTGTATTTAAGTAATAGAAATGTGTTGATAGCAAGCATGAAAGATAATTTGATCTGAAGAGTGAAACCTAATTTTTTAATATTATGGAAAATGATACGATTTAGCTAGATATAGGAATATTATTTAAATATAGATTGAAAGATATATTATCAGAACAAATTGTGTGGATTAGATTTTTAGGACAAATGACTACTTCAAAGAGAAAAGTTGTGAGAAAAGAGAATATATTAAGTTTAGTTTTAGGAAATGAATGGACTGTTATGAAATATGTTTATGGGTTTCATGCATGTAAAACAACTCAATTCAAATTCCTGGCAGAAGGCATCTGTGTGTTTTCCATAGGTATCAGGCTTTTTTTGTGTGTGAGAAAGGGAGAAGGGATAAAATACAAGCTTAGAAGCTGGAACAGTACTGTTGAGTTTCAGTAGAGGAAAATTTTATTTATTTATTTATTTAATAAATATATTTTATTGATTTTTTTACAGAGAGGAAGGGAGAGAGATAGAGAGTTAGAAACATTGATGAGAGAGAAACATCAATCAGCTGCCTCCTGCACATCTCCTACTGGGGATGTGCCCGCAACCCAGGTACATGCCCTTGACCGGAATCGAACCTAGGACCTTTCAGTCCGCAGGCCGACGCTCTATCCACTGAGCCAAACCGGTTTCGGCTTATTTATTTATTTTATTTTAAGATCTTTATTGTTGTTTTTTTTTCCCCAATCTTTATTGTTGAAAGTATTACGTATGTCTCCCTTTTTCTCCCATTGACCCCTCCTAGTCCACCCCCGCCCCAGGCCTTCACCACCCTATTGTCTGTGTCCATGGGTTGTGCATATAAGCATACAGGTTTTTTGGTTGATCTCTTCCCACCTACCCATCCACCATGGCCTTCCCTCTGGGGTGCGACAGACTGTTTCATACATCTGTGTGTCTGGATTTAGTAGGGAAACATTTAAGGTGATTGTTTTGGGGGCAAACAGTTATAAGTACACTATGCCGCGTAGTCTTTAATAACACTCCCCTCTAGAGACCATTTCAGTTTGCTGTCACATGTACAGAGCATACAGAAGAGCTTTGGAAACAAGGCAAGGAGATGCCCTTATCTAAAATCAGGGTGTGTCTGCTCTTGGAATACTGACATGGTTCTGGTCACATAATGAAGCTGAAAAAATGCTCAGGAAGTTGTTGCCATGAACCAAAGGAATGAGTGGAAGCACTTCTTTGGCCTGGAAAGCAATGAGATACTAAGAAATACACCATCCAAATGGGCACGAATAAGTGAGGCAACTGGACCTTAAAAGTTCCTTTAATGGGATAAATAAACCAAATGTAAAAGAGAGCTTAGACAGCATCATGGATGATAAGCCATGACCTGCTAGTAAAGATAGTTAGGATGTTTAGGGAGACACAGACAACCCTTATCTCTCTTGGAAGGATTGCTTCAGGTAGGAAAGTCCAGTGTTCCACAGTCCATACTTTGATGTTCCTAGCAAAGACAATACTAGGTGTGGTGGACTGGATGTGTTCCAGGGCTGAAATTGTGTAGTCAGTGCTGAAGAGGAGACTCGTAAAAGGAATTTGGTTGTTTATTTGTAATTCGTTTTCATGAGGAACTAGTTTTCATGATTACCATTTACTTTTCTTGGTATTCATAAACCTAAATTCATAAATTCAAACTAAAGACTAACTTACGATAACAATACAGGTGTACTAATGATGAGTTTTGAGTAACATGTAGTAAGGGAGTTTACAGCTAAAGCGTTCTGTGGAGGGGTGGTATGTTTTGTTATATTTTAAAACAATTTTATTGAGATATAGTTTACATCCCATACAATTCACCCGTTTCAAAATATATAATGCAATATTTCTATCATATTCATAGATAAGTGCAAGCATCACCATAATCAATTTTAGAACATACTCATTATGCCAAAAAGAAACCATGTATCCTTAACCTTTCTTCCCCCTATCGCCCTATTCCCTCCAGCCCTAAACAACCACTAATCCATTTTCATGGCAGAGAATGTCATCATGGAGTACTGCCAGGAAATGAGTGGAGCAAAAGTCCCTTGTCCCCCATCACTGCCAAATCGGGTGCTTCCTCTGCCCCTAACCATTGGGCCCTGCCACCTGGTTAAATAGTGCTGTTCCAGAAAATTCAGAGGTGCTCTGCACAGTGCTCTCCTTATTGGCCACCAACAGACTCTGCATCTTAAAACCTCCTGCCCACCGTCCAGGGTGCCTTGTACATGGGGCACCCTTTTCTTTTGCCCATCTCATCATACAGCCAGGCTCTAGGGAAGCATGAATTTCCCTCCAGGACTTCTGCTTCAGCTTCAAAGTATGTTTTTGGTATTACCTTCTCTCAGGGGCTGCCTAGTTTAGTCCTCTTCCTTGGACTGAAACACAAGCACTTTTTCTATTAGGGGGTAGTAGTTGGGTTGTAAGGCTAATTCGACCTTTAGAAAGGATACTGTATATTCACTAGTGGCCCAGTGCACAGATTTGTGCTCATTGGAAGAAAATTAATTAGAATTCCTGGGGAAGTGCCGCTTGAAGGGCCTCTGGGGAGTGAATGGGAAAAAAGAAAAAGAAAGAAAATTCATGCTCGGGTCTCTGGCTTGCTGCACTGGCTCTGGTGCAGGGACTAATGCAGGCGGTCCTGGGTGGAGGCCAGCAGCGGGGGTGAGGGGGGTTGGTTAAGGTGGGGCGTGTCTGGCCAGACATGCCCTGGAGCCAACCTCCCATGGTCCCTCCCCAGCGGACTGCACCTGCCACGGCTCAGGGCGGCTGTGGAGTAAGCAGGGATCCTCCGGCAGGATCCTGAGCCTGACCTGCAGGAATTGGGCTGAAACCGGCTCTCGGACATCCCTCGAGGGGTCCTGGAATGCAAGAGGGCACTCTGCAAAGTTGCTGTTGTACATGGTTTGGAACACAAATCGAGTGTGCAGTAAACCAGATTCAGGGCTGACAGTGCCCCAGGAACAACATAACCTATGGCTGAAGGTGGAAGCGCTGAAGGTAGAAGCGTGTGCTGGCCCTGCGAGGAATCGGGCTCCCTCCTCTGTGGTTGCAGGGTGTGGCACCCAAGAACCACCGCTGCCAAGTCACCAGAGCTCGGCAGCTCCTGCGTTGAGCGTCTGCCTCCTGGTGGTCAGTGCACGTCATAGGTGTTGGCTGTTCAAACAGTTGGATGTTCACTTAGCCTTTTATATATAGATAGATAGATAGATAGATTTTTTCCCCCTACTTGCTGGGTTAAGGACTAGGTAAGAATAACTAACACCAGCTATTTTTTCTCTTGTTTTTCTTAAGATAAGTGTAAATTGACTACAGAGTAGTTAGTATTTTTCCTGTTTTTAGAAGAGAATACTGAAGCATAAGTAGAGGCTGATTAAAACCACACAATTAGTGGGATGAGAACTGGATGTTGATGTTGGTGGAAAATGGGGTCCTGCCACAAAGTTGATGAGAACTGGATGTTGATGTTGGTGGAAAATGGGGTCCTGCCACAGAGTTGATGAGAACTGGATGTTGATGTTGGTGGAAATGGGGTCCTGCCACAGAGTTGTGAGGAAAGCATTTTGGGGACCATGCAGGGGAAGATGAGGTGTGATGGTAAGGTTTTTTGAAGCTGGAGCAAACACAAAGGACTGTCCTCAAGTGCCCGGAGTCTGTGTCTCAGCCATGGGCAGGTGGTTCAGCTTCGTCCTGCTGTGGAAGAAGTGCAGCCTTGTCTTCATTAAGCCCAGAAGAAGGGCCAGGGTCCAGAAATTCTGTACATTAGTTTAGTCCATGCTAAAGCTTAGTCCGGTTTAGCTTCTGTCCCCCTTTGGCTAGCTTACTCTGTTCTCCTCTGCGCTGGGCTGCTGTATGCAGGCCCGTGCTTTCCGAGCCACACTTGGAGCCTGCACAGCCAGGCGGGCGCTCGGGCTCCCTGTGGCTGCCAGGAATGCATGGCTGCTGGGGAGGGAGAACACAGGTGTACAGTGCAGGACCAAATGGGCGAACAAATGCGTGCTACCTAGTGAGGCCTTTGTTAAGCTTTGATGATAGCACTTTGGGCTTTCAAACTGACCAGTCTCTTTCCCAGTGCTCTGTGGGCTTGTCCTTCCCCTAACCAGTCAGGTCTTTTCCCAGATTAGACACGGTCCCTTTATGGTTGCCATCCTGGCTTCTACTGGGCATTCGCTTAACAGAAGAATTTCCCCTTTATTGTTTATTCTCCCCACCCCCATAGTCCCTGCAAGGGGACCGTGGTGCCCAGGGAGGCTGGAGAGTAGGTCCTTCCTCCCCATGCAGGGAGGGAGGGAGGAGTGTTAATCCTCTTGGCAGAACAACATGGCTATCTCCTGGAGTGTGTGAAGCTGTAGCTTCCGACCTAATTAAGCTTAGCCAGTTTTGCTCCCTTCTCTTTATTAATATCTAGGTACCTATGTTAACAACATTAGGTCTTTTTATTTTTTGGCCTCAGCTTTTTCCTCTAGAATGTACTATTTAGGAGTGATCTAGGCATTAATCATAAGATAAATATGAATTGCCATACTAAAGTCACTTGAG